TTGTCTATTTTATTGTGGGTTCATGTGTTTACGATAGGTCCTACAAGTCCTATCCTGCCTACCCAAAACGGAACTTAAGTTCTAGACACTGCCTGGTAAACACGGATCTTGTAGTGAATCAACGTATGTGTTTTCCCGGTTCTTGTGTTCGTATGAGAATAATTGAATGGTAGGGAATATCGGGAAGGTTGGAGCTAAAAACCAAAACAGGTAACAGGATGTAGGACGATTGCTTAAAAAGTATAATTTTGTATTCTTTTTCTTTTTGTTTTTACCATTTCCATAAGCAATGCACGTGAAAGATTGTCGGGGGGGGGGGGGCTTAGTTAGGGTGTTACATATAATCTTTTTAAAATTTGATTTTGTTTTACTAATGTAACTCGCCAAGTTTAACATAATCGAGATCGTCGTGCTATTAATCGAATGCTCTACCATCCGACTACGCCGTCCCCTAAAAAATTCATTAGTGAACTACTAATTAGCAGAACTAATTACATGTAGCAATGCAGCTTATGATAGTCTAGTAAGATATTGCTGCTTAATATCAACCCTCCCTGACTGAGTTGTTTAACCACACTTCTGGGATCCCGGATCAGATCCCAACACCCCCCCCCCCCACCCATTGTTAAATCCCCATCCACATATCACATACATATTACATGTAGCAATACAGCTAATGATAGTCTAGTACAGTAAGATATTGCTGCGTAATTGTAACCCCCCCCCCCCCACACACACACACACACTGACTGAGTTGTTTAACCACACTTCTGGATCCCGGATCAGATCCCAACACCCCGCACATTGTTAATATCCACATCCACAGAACACATATATATTACATGTAGCAATACAGCTAATGATAGTCTAGTACAGTAAGATATTGCTGCGTAATTTTTAACCCCCCCCCCCCACACACACACACACACTGACTGAGTTGTTTAACCACAGTTCTGGATCCCGGATCAGATCCCAACACCCCGCACATTGTTAATATCCACATCCACATATCACACACCTCCCACCCCCCTTACTATTGCGCATGCAGTAGGCTATAAAATGAAGTGTGGCCGTCATTTCATTCGATAATACAGAACCGCTTCGACACTTCAAAACAGACATGAGTTTGATCGGAGACCTTGTTTTCATCTTAGTCCTTTTGTCAGGTGAGTAACTGGAATTGTGTGAAACAAGTTTGATCTTGATCTAAATAAATAACTGGAACATTTAAGGTTTGAATGAAGCTTGTTTTTAGAGAGGATGAGGCCTGCGGGTTATGAAAGATGTTGATCCTTTAAAATGGGGATATGCTTGGGCCTAAAACTGACTCGTTCAACAAACCAATGAAGAAGTTTTATTTAGAAGTTTTGACGCCGGGCTCAGCCTGCTTTTCTATCTGTGTTTGATTCCACAGCATTTAACCCTTAAAGAACAATCTACAAAGCAGCAGTTGTTTAAATGTGGAGTTTTTGTTTTCCTAGATGGGTAGCTGTCCCTAGCTCTCGAGCCTCATCTGCCTGGGGGTCCGAACTCGAAATTTTTGAGTTAGCTCTTTAAAGACTGATGAAAAATATAATATTTGTCTTGAAGCATGAGCTAAATTTTTAACCGTTATCTTAAGTTATTAATGTTTAAATAATCTTTTTTGGGCTGGGTATGAAAGAACCACCACGGCTAGTCATTTATCACAAATTAACATTCATTTATCTTTACTTTGTATGTTTTTTATCTGTGTACCTAGCTACAGTATCGGCTCAAGATGATTGCTGCTCCATCTCAAGACAAAGAGCGTTAGAGAGTTTCAGACAAGATGTAAGCACCAGAGTCAACTCGGCCGTGCCGGTGTTGTTTGAAACGTCCCAGCCGTACAGGGGCCGAAGGTACTACCTGTCCAAGCCGCTGGGTAACGCCGACATCAACAGGTCCCAGGCCATGTGTCTGCTGATTGGGGGCTACCTGGCCGAGATCGACGACGCCGCTGAGTATCTGTTCGTCAAGAGTTTCATCCGAGGCTACAGCGGCTTCTTCGCGGTCTACACGGGGGGCAACGACGAGGCCCAGGAGGGCGCCTGGGTGTACCGCTACAGCGGCAAGCCCGTCACCTACCTGGACTGGACACCTGGACAACCCACCAATGATATTGACGGGGATTGTTTGACCTACCTGGACAGAACCGACTGGAAGATGGACGACTTCCGGTGCAACTACAGTAACGGAGATACGAGATTCATCTGTGAGGTTCCAGACAGCCCAGTTTAAAACAAGTCATACCTGTAGCTAGGTGCCTTAAAGCACCTGCAACTACATCATACCTGTAGCTAAGTGCCTTAAAACACCTGCAACTACATCATACGTGTAGTTAAGTGCCTTGAAGTACCTACATTAAAGATCCTACCCTATTGGTTATTAATACGCAATTATTGTATACGCAATGAAGAATTATCAAATTACCATTTAGCAAAATATGTTTTAGCTAAAATAGCGAAGTATTTTTTCAACGCTTGTCATGTTTTCACCAAACATATGGGAATTGTTAGTTATTATTGCTTGATTATATAAAATAAATAACGTGCTTTAGAAATCTAATATGTATTTCTTGTTTATTTGCGAAAGGTAATTTTGTATGTCATGTTCGTTTTAATTGTTTTAATAAGGTTTCTTTTATTGTCCATGGGGTAATGAATGCGCCCAGAAAAGTGGCGCTTCCGCCGCTTACCATGGCATTGAATGTAGAGATAATTAGTTATCATCTGCCTAAATTAATGCTAAGCTTTTTGTTTTGAATCAACTTCGGTTGCTGAAGCTGCCGAAAGGAAACAGAAGTTGGTAACCCAGTCGTCTAAATGTTCACCACTCCTAGTTGATTTCGGCGTTTTATTTCCAAGATCGGTTGCTTTCCCCAATTAACAAGCCTCATCTGCCCGGGGATTCAAACTCGGGAATTTCATATCAGCAGCCTTTGATACGAAGTCCCTGGAATTTTAACAGAGTAAAGGACAACACAAAAAGAGTACGTAGTCATATAGATTCCGGGGAGGGGGAAGGAAGCTAAAAAATTAGACAAGATAAGTAAAAAGATAATGTGGTATTTTTGGGGACAGTTGAATAAAGAAGCAAAATGTCTGACCTTTGCCCCATAATATATATATATATATATATATATATATATATATATATATATATATATATATATATATATATATATATATATATATATATATATAATAGTGTAGATAGTACAGTAATATTTGCTGACATGTGGAGTGCCTTCAGAAGAATCAAGTTCTCTCTTCACCAGAGTTTCTTCCAGGCATCTCTCCCCCCCCCCCCCCTCCCCGAACGAAATGTATATGTGACGATGGGGGGGGGGGGAGAGAGAATCAGTGTCCAAATGGATGGAGATCGGCTTTTTTCAAATTGTTGGAACCATAATAATGCTCAGAAGAATACAATTGAATATATATCTAGCTAAAAGATAAAATTTAAAACATTCTACATCAAATAATAGTAGCCCCCCCCCCCCCATTTTAAAACATTTATGTTGTCTACATCTATATTGTAAGTTAGTGTTTGGACCATAATATTTTGAAGCTAAAAGTAAAATCTGTTCAGTGGTTGTCGTTGTCTTTAAAAGTAGGTCAGCTGTGTTGGACGGTTAGCCATTTTCCAACAATCTTTCTGGGGTAAGTTAAACGTCTTTATTTATTAAAAGAGACTGTAAATTGTATTATCCAACAAGCAGCATTTTTAAAGATACTATCTTTCGAGTAGTAGACTCTTCATTGAAATATTTAGTGCGGATAGGCCTAGAAAATTTTTCATTTGTGTTCCGGAGAAAATAGAGCCCGTTCCTACCCCCTGCGTAATTGTAACCAATCGGGACGATGCAAACTTGTATTCCCCGACTGCTTTGTATAGTAAATTCTTTAAAACTGTCCGTATCTATCGTTCTTCAGTCATCGTTTCATACAACAGAGTTCAATTATTACTTTAAAGTTTTCTTCCATTTGATCATTTCTAAAAATAATTAAACTAGGAATGGCTGACTTTTTCAAAATCTCGGCCTTGCCCTTGTTGACGCCATATTTGTTATAGATTTAGATCTAGTAATCGTTTGTCATTAGTCCACTTTCGATTTCACAAGTTCCGCTCAACTTTCGCTTTTGTTTTCCCTCAAGATCGGATATCCACACCCATAGCCTACTAAACAAAATTTGAAATATAAAAATTTAAATGTTTACAAAGGTTTATAGATCTATAGTTCATCACATTTTAAAACAAAACAGTCATAAATATAATAGAGTGAGTACTAGCCTATACATTTTATATTAACTAAGAATGTAGGCCTAGACAATTTTAATTTTTGATTTAGCCGCAGTTCAAGTCAGACGTTTAATTATTAAATAATTAGGCCTAATTATTTATTAAATTATTAATTAACCTGTTTCTTGGGTTGTGTTGTTTAATGTTTCCAGTTAGAATAGAAAAGCTTGGCCCCCTTTATTTAGGCCTAATTTTAAAACTTAATTTTTTTGTTTAGGCCTATATTTAATTTAAATTATTTAGCCTAGTCCTAGAGTAAGCCTATGATATATATATATATATAATTATATAGGCCTATATATATATATATATATATAATATATATATATATATATATATATATATATATATATATATATAGGGCCTAGAGTAATTTAGAGTAATTTAGACATATTTAACATAGCCATCATAATAATATGGATAGTGCCATGCCATAGGCCTATATATATATATAATGTTTATTTCGTTAGACTGTACTGTATCAACTAGATTATTACTATAAATGTAAACCTTGCCTATTTTAATAAGCAAAATATGTAAGCTGGTGTCTTGGCAGGTCACATTTTTATCCCCTCCCCAATAATTATGAATACATCATCATAAAAATCCAGCTTAGTATCTAAATCTCAGCCTAGTGCTGAACACTCATTTTCTATAGTCGAGGTCAAAGGATCATAACTATGCTTCATTTATTCTATAGGCAGCTAGGTTTGCCGGAGTTTTTTTTACTTAACCCGTGCATTTACTTGGTCTTGACTTAAACCTTAGATGTATTGCCTTTTTGACATTCAAGGAAGCTGTACCAAATACTCAACTAAACCAAGAGGGTTAATTCTGTCTTTGATTACTTTGAAACTGATACGCCTCATCACAATAATGACAAGTGACTGATTTTAATTATTTAAAATGAATAGGAATAAAGTTGCAATCAACTTAACATCAACTGATTATAAAGATATGTTTTATTAAGCTGAATTTACATTTTTCCCACAAAAAAGTATGCACATAGAAGAAGAAAAAAATCATGGAACTGTCTACGCCGGAAGATGCTACCTCATTAGTGTTTTCTAAATCAGATGTCCAAGCTGGCTCAGTTGATTCACTGGACCAAGGTATTAATTTAGTTACATTAAAAGTAATACAGGTAAAAAAAATGTTTGAGAAAAATTCTTTAAAAATCATGTTTAAAATTGAGGATGAATGTAGTGAAACAAAACAGTACGACTTTCTATTTAAAAAAAATATCATACCCAAATCAAGCTTTCTAAAATGTAATTTAAATATTATTTTTTTTTTTTTTTTGAATGTATTTATTCTGTTTGAATTTCAAAATTACTTCTAGGTGTTACTGATGATGGTTCCGAGACAACTGATTGTCATTTGGAAAACCAGGTTTTCACTTTAGTCAGCAGCGGTGGTCACCAGTTTGTTGTTGTGTCTGCTGGCACGGATGCCATGAACATATCTGGCACAGATGCCATGAACATATCTGGCACAGATCTGCAGCAAGGTGGACAGTCAATAGCACTGAACATTGACGATGCTACCAGGTTCCTCATTCAGAATCAGAACATGACCAATGCACTCATGCTACCAGATGGATCTTATCAAATTTTAGATCAACCAATGGTTCAGGTACAACAACAAAAAACTTTAATTGAGAATGTGATTGGTTTTTTTTCATACTACGAGGATTATTTTTACGACATATTCAATGGCCTAGCTTTTTTATACTACCATAAGAAGGCAATATTAGAATATTAAAGCATTAAGCAATTATTGTACCTTTTCTACCTAAACGATCGATGGTAGATGAAATAGTGTTTATCTGTTACTCTAGCTCTGGCATATGAGTCAGGGACTCGTTAGAACTCGTTAACCTAAGAAATATCCAGTAATCTTAACTGAAGACTTTATGGCTAGTAACTGCACTCTGCCGTGCTTTCCCATAGAATTACGATATTAAAAGTACTATAAAAGAGTGGAATTTTGAATTAAGTATTTACAACACAGTGCTGGTTTTATTAGAAAACAAGATACTTTATTTTTAATTTCACTATTATCCAAGTACCAGCATTTTTAATTAATTTAAAAATATACATTGATGTTTATTTTTTGTTCCTTGTTTAATCAGATTGAACGAGAAGATGGCACTCTGGAATCCCAGACACTTCATATTGAAGTCCTGCGTGCTCTGCAAGAGAACCTTTCACAACAGCTACCCAGTATACAGTCCTGCTACCAAATTGAAGGTATTGACAGCCTTGACGAAGCATCTTCTTCATCCATAATTAAAATTGAGAATGCATCTGACGGTAATGCAGATGGGACTTTGAATGACGAGTATTTAGATGATGTGTCCTCGTCATCGATAATGAAAGTGATGGATGAGGCCAATTCGTCTTCAATAATAAAGGTAGAACTTCGCTCTGGTAACAATGGTGATGAGTCAGTGAACGAGGGGTACATGGACCCAAGCGAGCTGACGGTGAAAGAAGAAACAGATGTGCAAAACAGAAGAGAACCATCTAAGGGAGATAACCCAAGAAAGAAGAGGAGACTCCAAAACAAGGAGGTGTGTCAAAAGTTTATATTTCTAAAGTATGTGTGGCAGCTCCCTGTTACAAATAAATAAAGCAGATTATTTCTTTAACAGCAACCAACCAATTCTATTACTAGCTTTATCAAGGCTAATTTCTGTGGGAAATATACTATATTTAAATGTTGATTAATGAAAAATAACATTTTTTTTTTGCCCATATGTTTTGTTTATATAACTAGAGGATTGTTTATTAGAATAAAGCTTTATTATTGAAGAGCATTATTAAAAATGACTGCAAATAATACTTTATCACAAATTTATAAAGACATGTTTTGTACATTTCCATCTAGTTTAAAAAGCCGATGTTGAAGAAAGATCAGGAGGTAAAGCAACCAGACCTCAACAGCCCCATCCCCCTGTCAGATCAAACTATCATCATGGTAAAGGGCAAGAAGTGTGTTCTAGCTTTCAACCAAGAGACACAACAAGTCTGTGCATATCCCTTGAAACCACCCCCTGGTGAGTAATTCTATTGATACAACTTTTGTGGTTGCAATAGAAGTTAGTTTGCTGTTGTTACCATAACACGATTATAAATTCTGTACAGTATTTCATTATGCTACTCCTGTTTGTCTATAGAAAAATGAAACTAAAATTTTATGTTTGTTCAATGCTTGAATATAATTGTGAATGTGTCACCCTTTTAGTGGTTGTCCTCAAACTTTCCATTGCATTGGTCAATACATTATCAATTATGGTTGATAATTAATTAATTTATCTCTTAAGTTTGAACTTGACATCCACTTTATGATTATAGGACTTATGGTAAATGTTTTAATTACTGTTGCTGCAGCATTGTTAATCAAATTAAGATAATCTCTTGCAGGTGCTAAACGTAGGGGGCGCCCAAAGTTGTCTGAACAGGAAAAATCTGTCAAGAAGACTGCTCCGGCTAGTGTTGATCTCCCTGCGGAGAATATCTCAACTACAGATAAGAGTACGGCAGCTGAGACTCTGCTTGAGTTATCTAATGTTGGTAGGTGGAACAGTCTTGTTGTCAATGAAGTAAAGTGATCATATCATTGGTAAAACTGGCGCTATCGCCAGTAGTTGTTGATAAATCTTAGATAAGGTTTGAACCTATGTTGTTGGTGGTAGGCAAAACTGTGGTAGATACTTCTCAGATAACTTTTGATAAGTAAAACTAGTGGTACTGGTGGTAGGTGGAATGAAGGTGTTGTAAGATTAGCATAAACTTAGATGTTAGCACTGGTAGGTTGTTTTTTGTGATGATACTACAGCTCAGATATTAATAGTAACTGAAATACGTGTTCCATCATAAATACAGTGACCTAATCCCATTTCCTTTCTTGATTTCCAGGCTCAGATGGTGTAAGGAGAAGTGCCAGAAAAAGAAAAAAAGCCAGGCTTTTTGATGGTATGACTTTACTTTTTATTTAACGCCATCTAAATATGACATGATTGACTACATGCCTTATGTTTTTTATTGTAATAGAAATATATTGGTTAAAAAATCGCCCCTTATTTGCTCGCCATCTAACTGTCTCTCTTTCTTGATCTGCATCTGATTGTCTTCAAAATTTCATTGAAACCAGAGTATGAGGAGCTGGCTGATTCAGATGAAGAAGTAGAAACACCATTTGTTGACAGCCAAGAGAAAGACCCTGACATAAGCATTGGTACTTTGGAAGAGAAAAAGAAGAAAGTGATTGCAACAAAAAAAGAACCTATCTCCCCCACAGTCTCAGTTCCCAGCACTTCACAGCGTAAGTTCCATTCAGTAGTTTCTGTAGACATTGGTAGTGTGCACTGTGTTGGCCATTTGCTGCTATTATGACTGATTGTGCCATACCCCTTTCACTTTTAAATATCACATGATGCGATAGGGAGTAATAATATGGAAGGAGTGGAGGATTAAGACTGCGCTGTAGTCACAGAATTAAACATCCAGTAACTCACAATTCCTAAGTTATTTATTCAGTCATCACAAGGAACCTCAGATATGTCATTGCTAAATGGCTTCCACTCATGCAGTATAGCTGCATATGAACTTGTTCTTTAAAAAACCAAAATGGCAATCATTATGTGTTATTATTTCTAATACAATTAGCACCCGCCAAACGAGGCAGAGGACGTCCAAGAAGATACCCACTCCCAGGCCAACAACAGACCCACACATCCATACCAGCAGTGATGATTCCTTCTGTCAATGGTCAGACACTAGTTATGGCACCAATTCAGGTAGTTGGTTATTTTTTTATTACTACATGCATTACATCCCCTCTAATGGATATTGAGAAAAATATCTTACCATTCAAACATATTTAATTTTTAGGACATTCAAAATCTGCATCATCAGCTTCATGTGTATTACCATTCAATCAAATTACATTTTAAGGGTTTTCCTAACCTTCAAAGCCTGTATCATTATCTCCATGTATATTACCATTCAATCAAATTAAATTCTAGGGCATTCCTAACCTTCAAAGCCTGTATCCTTATCTCTATGTATATTACCATTCAATCAAATTAAATTTTTAGGGTATTCCTAACCTTCAAAACCTGTATCCTTATCTCTATGTATATTACCATTCAATCAAATTAAATTTTTAGGGTATTCGTAACCTTCAAAGCCTGTATCATTATCTCCATGTGTATTACCATTCAATCTAATTAAATTTTAGGGCATTCCAAACCTCCAAAACCTGCATCATCAGCTCCATGTATATTATCATTCAATCAAATTAAATTTTAGGGCATTCCAAACCTCCAAAACCTGCATCCTTATCTCCATGTGTATTATCATTCAATCAAATTAAATTCTAGGGCATTCCAAACCTCCAAAACCTGCATCATCAGCTCCCTTCACTGGTGCACAAGCCACAGACAGACACCTCCGCTGCTCCTGGCATCTCTGCTGAAGGTGTTGATACAACAGCTTTGTCACTCAATCCAGACACACTTCCACTGGACACCTCGGCCGGTGGGTATAAAACCTCATTTGTTTTTATCTCATGTTCAGTTGGGGAGGGGGTGGTCTAGCGGCAGAGAGCTGGACTGCTAACCCGTAAGTCTTCGAGTTTGATTCCGGGTTCAAGTCAGTAGACCGTCCCTGAATCCACCCAACTCTGATGGGTACCTGACTCACGTTAGGGAAAATAAAGGCGGCTGGGCATAGTGCTGAGCACTCTATCTCTTCATATGCCGAGGTCACAGAAATAGGTGAACTCTACTTCACTTGCCCTATAGACCGCTAGGCTTGAAAGAGAAATTTTTTTTTACATTTTGAGTTGTTTTTATCTTTAAAAATCTGTAAATAAAAGTGCAACATACTTTAATTGTTCTTCCTTTTTATTATTTTATTGTAAATTTGCGTTAAGGACTTACAACTGAAAAAGAAAAACTATGCGTAATGAGAAAGCTGATTATAGTGTTTACATTACAAATGATTGTTTTCTCTTAATTCCAGTGTTGGACAGCAACAGCATTATTCCGAAAGCCCTCCAAGGGGACACAATCCCGCTGGTGGGAGACCATGATACATCGGATCATGCTGACAGCATGGACCAACCGAGTAAGGAAACATCTCTTTAGCTTAATGCTATTTTAAATATTTGACACAGCTGTACCTACATCTTTAGATGAAATGTGTTCCCAGTTTTTTAAATGCTAACCTAATGCAACTCTTCTAGTGTGAAGTTAGTTTACTGAAGCACTAAACTTAGACTGTTTGTTTTCAGCATCCAGCATGTTGACATTCATCACTCCAACAGACCCAGAGAAAACAAAAGATGGTCAGTCTACTGGCAGCGTTCTGTCCACTAACCAGGCTACAGTGATACAGATTCCAAATAATTTATTAGCTTCGTTAGGTTTCAAGAAAGATCCTGTGAAGATAGGTAAGAGATATTTAGTTAAGTAATTTCTTAGAATTAATAATTTACTCATAAATATGAACCCATTTTTTTTTCAAGTAACCTAACAAGTTATATAAGACAGAACTTCAAAGCTTAAAGTGCTGATAATGTTGAATGATAGTCAAATAGTAAAAAAAAGTAAAGAATCCTCTTTAGACCTAACGATCCATTGGGCAGATGAAGTAGAGTTCATGTTTCTTGACCTCGGCATATGAATGGATGGTACGTCAGCATTATGCTCAGCCACCATTACTTACCCCACCCACCCTAAGTCAGGTACCCATCAGGGCATGGTGTGCTCAGGGATGTCCTACAGTCACACGTCCAAACTGAGATCTGAACTCGAGACCTCTCATGGTATCAGTCAAACTTTCTACCATTTGACCATGCCATACCACATCTCATTCAAATAGCAACCATGTATTAAAAATAGTATTGTAACATCAGAACAAATGGTCGTTCCTTACAGATTAAATTATTGTTTATGGCTTCAAATGCAACTTTTGGCTTTCTTTATATTTAATTAGCACATCTTTGTAGAATAAGAACTAAGCTATAAATACTGAATTTTCAGTCATCACATTACTATTTCCATTTTTATTACCTTTTTAATAAAAAAAAATGGCAGGCCTGAAAGCAACTGAGAGAGAGCTTGAAAAGCTGAAGTGTCCCAAATGTGATTTTCAAGGCTACTACATGCAGCAATACCGCAGTCACATTGAAACACATGGGGATGATATACACAAGTGTAAATGCTGCAGTTATCTGTCCCTTGAAGCTGATGATCTGTTAGAACACTTCAAGGTACAGTTTGTCATTTAAAGGGTCTTTGCAGGTGTTTTTAAAATAACTTTTGGGCTATGATTTCTAATAATGAAATTCTAAAATAGTCTGCAATTAATTTTTTTTTTTTTAAATCAATATTCTTAAAGTATATCATTTTGAAAACTTGTTTTTAAATAATTTTAATACCTGCTAAAGCCTTTTTTTTATTGTTTTTAAAGAACTTTTTTTGTAATTTATCTGTTTTTTTTTAGGAAAATCACCCTCGCTGTATTTGTTTGGAATGTGACTTCATGGCTGAACATGCTTACATTATCAAACGTCACATGATGCGACACGACGCCAAGAGTTGTACTTGCACCCAGTGTGGCAAAGTTTATAAGGTGGCCAGAACTTTCTTCCACTTGATAACATACTAAAGAGATTTGTTTAGCTCTGGCACCAAAGCTGTGATTTTGCTGCCTATTTTATTGTGTTGAATTTGTTATTCTCTGTTACCAATATTGTGATTTTGTTGCCTGTTTACTGAGTTGTAGTTTCCTCACAGTTCATTTTAGTGACCTTATCTTAAATAGAAAGTCATTTAAGTTAACTTAACAGTTATGCTAGCAATTTAAGAACAGTCAATAGTTGTTTTGTTTAATTGATTCCATTATTTCTCTGCCAGGATATGTATATACTGAAAATGCACATCAAAATGGTCCATATGCCTGCAGAGGTTTTATTTGAATGTAACGTTTGCTCAAAAAAGTTTACCCGCAAAGCCCATCTGAAAAGACACTTGCGAATACACGAACCAGAGAAGCCATACAAGTGTACATTGTGTGATTACAGGTAGGTTTTCTTGGATAGAATAAGTTTTATTTATGTTCATGTTTTATTTATATTTATTTCTCAATCCCCAGCTGGATTTTTTTTTTTAATTAATGAGGTTAAAACTAATTAAAAATGCGGCTCATAACAAAGTAGCTTTAATTATAGTATAAATTATGCTGTGATATCAAAGAAGGTAATTCCATTGACTGCTAACTAAAACTTTAAGTTCATAAATATTTTTTGTATTGTAATAATTGTGCACTTTTTTACGATGCTTCCGGTTTTGATTTTTTTTTTATTGTTTGTAAATCGATAACTTATTTTAACTCAAACATAATAAACTTAATGCATTTTAACAATATGTAGATTAGATCAAAATCAAAATAAACTTAGTGTAAATAATGGACCGTTATTTACAAAATAAAATCAACTTTTGACACCAATAATTTCTCCCAACAGAGGGTGTGAAAGATCTGACATATCCAAACACATGCTTATCCATCAAGACCCAAAACATGCTTGTGAGAGATGCGGGAAAACTTTCAGGCATATTAAAAATAAGGAGTTACACATAAAAAGGTATTGAAACAAATATTGGAACTTAATTGATGAGTGTTTTTAGCAATAAGTATATAGTTTTGTTTTATTGTTTAGTATATAAACTATATTTTAATTTTATAATGCACTAATGAAAAGATGTTTTCTCACTCAGACATTACGGGCAGAGGGATTACAAGTGCGGAGTCTGTGATTTCTTTGGTTACACATTCACAGACATACGGAAACACATAGAACGTAAACATCAAGATATCAAAACATTGATTTGTGATAAATGCAATAAGCACTTGAAAAGTGAACAGGCACTCAAGGTATGTTTTTCCCTTTTTTAAAAAAAAAACTAAGTGACGATATTGAACTAAAAATAAAGTGTCAAAGGAAAAAAAAAATTTATTGGGTTTTGTACATATATAAATATATATTTTTAATTCTCTTCTACTTAGTAGGTAAAATATTTCTTTTGAATTATTTTTTCCCTGTCAAAGATAAAGAAAGTTTTAATTATACTTTAAAACTAGTAGTAAAAGTTAAAGTTTCCCTTTCAAACCTGAAGGTCTATGGGGCAAGTGAAGTAGAGTTCACTTGTTTCTGTGACCTCGGCATATGAAGAGTACATAAAACTAGTACATTGGGTAAAATCAATACTTTGGTGAGTTAGTTCACTGCCAGGGTCTTGAAGCTCCTAGGGTGAAACTGATCACACACTTTTGATGTGGATCACATTAAGCACTGCAGTCTTGGGTCCATCTCCTCTTTCTGAACCAGGTGTGTTGCACTGCTCAGGTACTTATTGCATGTTTGTGTTCCAGGAGCACCAGCAGACCTGTAATGTCATGATGATAGAGCAGGTGCTGGCCATCCCCACGTCTGCTGGCGGCACCAGCCAGGCCACCATCCAGATCCCTACCAACATGGGTCACGGGGGTCAGATCATCCTTGACAGCCAGGCCATCACCATGGATGGACAGACCATCTCCATGAAGAAGAATGGAGGGGTCATTATGATGTCTGGAGGTGGGTCGTTGTTTGTTAGTCATGGGAGGTGTCTGGCTAATTCTTAGTTAGGGGTCTTTATGATGTCTGGAGGTGGGTCGTTGTTTGTTAGTCATGGGAGGTGTCTGGCTAATTCTTAGTTAGGGGTCTTTACGATGTCTGGGGTGGGTCATTGTTTGTTAGTCAAGGGAGGTGTCTGGCTAATTCTTAGTTAGGGGTCTTTACGATGTCTGGGGGTGGGTCATTGTTTGTTAGTCATGGGAGGTGTCTGGCTAATTCTTAGTTAGGGGTCTTTACGATGTCTGGGGGTGGGTCATTGTTTGTTAGTCATGGGAGGTGTCTGGCTAATTCTTACGATGTATGGGGTGGGTCATTGTTAGTCATAGTAGGGGCCTCCATAATGCTTAGTTAGGGGGTCTCTATGATGTCTGGGGTGGGTCATTGTTATTGATTGATAGGAGGTGGTCATGAAGTTAGAAAAGTGAGCCATTGGTTTATGGAATATAAGTCATTATTTAGGTTGGTCACTGCATGTTAGCCATGGGAAGTGCCTCACTAATTATTAGTTAAGGTAAGTGGGACATTGAGTTATGGGAGATGAGTTTCTTAGTTATGGGTGTCAGTTTTAGCCTTATAAGTGATAATATCAGTTAAGCTGCATCAATATAGAGCTAATATGATTTAATTGCCACTTAGTTTTTGTTTTGTTTATAACTTACAATCAGTAGTTAGAGACATCTTAAGTAAAAAAATCAAGGAATTAAAAAAAATTGTAAACAATGAAGATATCTAAACTAGCTGAATAAAAGATAAAGTCCCTTGAATCATGTGTTGGGGTGAGAGAGGATTAATTTAGAATCTAAACATGGTAATAATTTGGGAAATCCGTTGTTTTTTTTTTTACATTTTTATTTATTTCTAAAAATAGTATTTTTTTAAAAATATCTTTTCCTTCAATTAGAACAACAATTGGTGATGACTGAAGGAACAGAAGAAGAAGAAGAGCTGGAAGATGAAGAAGGTGGGATAAACCAAGCCATGCAAATTATAGGGGAAACTATCATGACAGACACAGGGGAGGAAATGCACATCATATCTGAAGAGGCACTGCGCGATGCCAGACACATGGCCTCTAATGTCAACATACACCACAGCTTACAACAGGCGCATCTCATAGATCAAAATGGCCAGATACTCACTCCATCTGGCATCCAAATATTTTATAAAACAGAACAATCGGATGACCAGGGTGGGGATATGCTGGAGGAGGGGAAGCAGCTGGTGGACGAGCACGGCAACATCATAAGCCAGGGAGAGGACGAGGAGGACATGTCCCATCAGTTCATCAACAAACCCGACCAGCCCCACCCCGGGGATGAGATCCTCGAGGTAAACATTGAGGACTTCCAGGAGGTTATAAAGGATAAATCATTACACAGCATAGATCCCAACTCCGTCACGGATCCCTAGTCTTCTTAAAGGATGCTTATACATCAACCCTAATCCATGGATCAGAACCTTTATTTATTGTTTTTTTTTTTATTTGGGTGTAAAAGAAAATTGCAATTGTTAAAAAATTCTGCAATTGTACATAGAACATATTTTAATGTCATTCTTAAAAGATAAATACTAAAATTTAAAGTGTGTGTGTGGTCCTGATTGCATGGTAGTGCACATTGCTGTTAATCTGAAAGCCTTGAGTCCAGAGGGAAAATCATGATTTCACAACGCTCAAAGGGTTATCACACAGCTAAATGGTTACCACACAGCTAAATGGTTACCTCAGATGGTTACCACACGTCTCAGATGGTTACCACACAGCTAAGATGGTTACCACACAGCTAAATGGTTACCACACAGCTAAATGGTTACCACACAGCTCAAATGGTTACCACACAGCTAAATGGTTACCTAAAATGGTTACCACAAAGCTAAACTTTACCACAAGTGTGAAAGCATCATAATTATATTATCATACCATCTAATCTAATGGTGCTTCCTGCATATTTTTAGCAGAAATAATTTTAAAACAGAACTTAATTCAAAGTAGGTAGCCAAACCAACAGCTTAATTTAAAGTAGGTATCCTAGCCCTATCCCATGTTTTGTGAGTCATCCTCTCCTGTGTACCAATGATGTGTGCTATATATTTATTACTCAACTTTGCCCCACCTTGTCTTTCTCTACTCATCATTTTTTGCGTTTGGGAACCCATCTAGTCCAAAGAAAATAATGCAAAAATTGTAAAAACCTCATTACTAAATCTAGTAATTGCAAATGTAAATAATGTTAATGCTTAATTACTATCCAAGTTGAAATGGGGTGTTTAAAATGTACAGTTGAAGAGATGTAATGTGTTTCGGTTCATGTTATATTTGTACTTTAAGTGATATTATGGCATCAATATGTTCCATACTGGATCCTTGTCTACATAACAAATGTACATACTAATTTATTCTTCTCTGTTCATGTATGCTTACATTTGCTGATATGAGAGTAAAAGAAGCTGACTGAGCTCTTGAATCCAATGCATGCATTTGTTTTTATTTTTAAATTGGAATCAATCTTTGAACAAGATTTTTAGTAGCACAATATTTGAAGATTTTTTTCAGTTTGAAAATGTAGTTTTAAAATAATTGATTTCATTTAGTGCAGATATTTTTTTACTGGTTCTCTTATTTATACACCCAGGTCAAATTGAGAAGTGACATAAGCCTTTACTGGGATCCACTGAGAAGTGATATAAGCCTTCACTGGGGTCTACTGGTGATATATACCTTCACTAAGGTCCACTGAACTGACATAGGCTTTTACTAGGATCCACTAAAGTGATATTGGCCTTCATTAGGGTCCACTGAGAAGTGATATAGGCCTTCATTAGGGTCCACTGAGAAGTGATATAGGCCTTCACTGGGGTCTACTGAGAAGTGACATAGGTCTTCACTGGGGTCCACTAAAGTGATATTGGCCATCACTGGGATCCATTGAGAATGGATATAGGCCTTTACTGAGATCCACTGATACATATGCTGTGCATATTGTGATGAATTTATTTACTCCCCCTAACTTCCATTTGATTTCTGTGTGTATTAAAACTCTGTCTAGGTGTGCTGTTTATTTGATTGCAATCATTGGCTGATTTAAGTCAGCTCAGTGGTGGTAAAAGTTTAGTTTTTTTGCTCAGAAAAGTTTCTCATTAATTTGGTTGAATAATTGATTCTGCAAATCCACAACTATGACCCAAAACAAATCTGTCTGTTCTTTTTCTTTTAAATACAATCATTTTATTTTCATATACATATATAAACGATTTCAGATTCTAGAAAGAAACATTTAAATTAACCATACACACTGCACACACACACCTAATTTTTAAAAATAAGTACAATAACTTATCCAATCCAATCCTAGAATGTGACAACATAAATTATTTTATATTGTTTCGTCTCTTTCGTCATTATAACTCCTAGTTTTTACTGTTAACGCTGGTTAAAACTGTCTTTTATATTGTTCTGTTATCTCACATTTCAACAGGTTACACTTTTTAATGTTAACTCTCCGTGGTTGCGTCTGATATGGACCTGATATCTTTCTCCTTGGGTTCCTCCACCACATTGTCTTTTGGCTGATCTTTCAGCTCACATGCGTGGGCGATGGTTGCGTCCAGCATGTTGTCTTTAACGTTGAGGATACTGTTCCGTGGACGTGCGTCCGTCACAACCACGGGGGGTGGTTTCTTACAACAACAGCAACACAGCCACCTCGCAAACTGTTTCATGGGGGGAGTGTTCGAGAATCAATTTCATGCTAAATATATCCTATGTATATGTATAGGATATATATATTATATATATATATATATATATATATATATATACACATATACGCCTATATTTATAGGGGTCGTCCATAAACGAAGTCAGTGGATATGGGGGTAATTACTTTAGCCTTAATTTTGCGTATTTTTATAGATTTTTTTTTTTAAACTGAAATAGTAAATCATTAAAATTTGGTTGAGATGTAGATCTAGGTCTGGCAATTTGTGACGATGAGGAGAGGTGGAGGTAAAAAGCATTTCCCCAGATAGATAGGATGTTTTTGTTAGATCTTTTTTTTTTGTTAGAACTGCTAACAAATCAAACAAAATTGTTCGACTGCAACTGGGAATGGAAATAAATTTAGGTTTTTTTTTTGACAGCTTGTTGAGCATAGACAATGCTTCTGTTACTGCAGATATATATATATATATATATATATATATATATATATATATATATATATATATATATATATATATATATATATATATATATATAACCTCTAATCATATCAATCCAGTCTGTTTTCTCCTTCGCAATTACAGCATAGCTCATCCAGAAGTAAATTTTATCTCCAGTTTTTCAAAAATGTTTAAAAGTTACGTTCCCTTTTCGAACCTGACGGTCCCTGTGGTAAATTAAGTAGGGTTCACCTGTTTATGTGCCTTCGGGGTCAGTATTAGGCCCAACGGCCTTTCCTTTCCCTAACGAGATTCAGGTACCCATGAGAGCTAGGTTTACTCAGGGACGTTCTACGTACTTGTAACTGGATTCGAGCTCGATACTTTCGGGTTAACAGTCTAGAGCTCGGCTACCCCGTCCCTTTCAAATATGCATAGTTAACTTTAACTTCATATAGGCTACATGAATGTATTAGAACTTTCTTGTTGGCCCAATTTTAAGAAATATCTGGCACTGCCGTATGGGGTTACCTTTTGAGAATAGTGTTAAAATGAATTACTCACATCTATATATCTGTTTGACTCATACACGCATACATCCAAATCGGAGGAGAAATGCACGCGGCCTTTCGTCACATCCACATTGTGCGACGCCCCTGATACCCTTTGTCGCATGGCCAGGGCCAGGATCTTCCTGTAGTTGGCCGGGTCCACCTCGGACTCGATGATCCGCGTGCTTTGGAAGTGGATCTTGTCCGGGGTCATTTGATTGGAGAGGTCAGATGCCAGCGTAGAGACCTGGGAGTGGGCGCTCGACTCGTCGTCTGCGGGCTGCGGATTTCTGTTCCTGTCGCTCTCGGTTTTCACCTCGACTAAAAACGGTTTGGCCGATTTACCAGATTTGGAGAGCCGCCTCTGGTTGTTGCCGACGTTGTTCAAAGGGCGTTTGATGCTGTCGAATTCTAATAAATGTGGGAAAGGAAAATGGAAATATCGCATGCAGCTGGCGATATTGATGATTTGGTAAGTGTCGGCTATGTCTACTTGGCTGGATTTCCGTAACTGTCCGTCGCTTGCCGATCGTTGCAATACGCCATCCGGTCGCGGGGTTTTATTCGACGACTTCACGGATATTTCGTTTTCTTTCGTTTGTAGAGTCTCGCTTGCAGAATTTTCAAGTTTATGCATACCATTGAAACAAATGTTAGAGTAAGGACATAAGGCAAACGACAAGCACACGCGTGAAGTCGACACATCCAACGAATGTCGTGTTAACTCGTTCAGCTGAGGGTTAATCCTAAAAATGTTCACGCACCAGTCGCTGACCAATTGTGAAATCTGCATCCTAGGGCTGCTAGTCTATCCACAGCGAGATTCATCCTGTTATTATTATTGTGTATTTTCTTTTTTTTCTCGTCTTTTTTTTTTTCGCGCACTGTTTATAACTTGTTCTGATCTGAGTAATGGAAACTGGATTTGCTTGGTGCGCATGTTGGCGTGATTTATCATGAAACTTACGAAGTTGCAAGAATTCTTTTAAAAACTTACTTATAGGCCTACTTAAAAATTTATACATGTACACGCAAAAAAACCGTATATAGGGATATATAAGTACACATATATATAGAGGCATTATATATATATATATATATATATATATATATATATATATATATATATATATATATATATATATATATATATATATATATATATATATATTATATGCCTATATAACAGCTGCTGTCTTGTAGTAAGTTGTGATTTGTTCTTTGATGGACAACAATTATGGAAGAAAATCCAGAAAGAAAAGCCGGCTGCTGAAGTAGTAGTCACGGGCCGATGGCTAATAACATGTTTACTCGTAGGCCTAATTCCTAATTGGCAGAGTTTCTTCCAGGCATCTCTTCAGGGGGGGGGGGGGGGAGGGAAATTTCCCCCTCGGAAATTTTTTTTTGAAAATCCATTGATGATCTGTCCGTGAAGATTAGAAAAAATCCGAAACCGGACCGGCGAAAATCAAGACAACTCTGACTTTGGATTGTTTTACGGACAAAAAGAAACATCCCAATTAATAATCTAACCTTGGTAAAAAAAAAATCTGATTATTAAAATAAAACGTATTACATGGCCCTCAGCATATGCCATATATATAGAGAAAACAAAACGCGCCCTGTCGGGGCGCCACCCCTGCCAATTTGAAATATTTTTTTTTTTTGGCAGAAAACCTCCCCAGGTATATTCTCAACAACTCCCCAAAGTTTCACGGCGATGTGATCTGAGGTGTGGTAATGCATAAAAGACAGACACACACACAGACATACATTGCTATATATATATATATATATATATATATATATATATATATATATATATATATATATATATATATATATATATATATATATATATATATATATATATATATATATTTAAATATATATATATATATATATATATATATATATATATATATATATATATATATATATATATATATATATATATATATATATATATATATATATATATACTAGACTACCCGGCATCCATTGGACAACTGTGGGTTTCGGGGGTCATCCATATAAAACATCATGTCTGTCACTTATCGTCACAAAAAAACCAGACCCCACATTTAAAAAGACGTCACACCTCAGACATGTTTTTGTCTTTTAAAAACATAGATTTCTACTGAGCATTGGTCTGACCCTTTATATGCTGAGGTCACAAAAACTGGTCCACTCTATATCACCTGCCTAGTGCCTCCTCCCCCCCCCCCCCAACTCAGACATGTTTTTATCTTTTAAAACAGATATCGGCTGATATCCCTTCATGCTGACTTCACAGGTGAACTATACACCTACCCAACTCTACTTCACCTGCCCAGTGTCCCGCCAAGTCTCAGACAACATGTTTTATCATTAAAAAAAAATTTCGACCGAGCATGGCTCTGACCACACTATCTACTTCATATGCTGAGGACAAAAAACAGATGAACTGTACTTCACCTGCCCTGTATCATAGTGTATCCGCCAAGTTCCGATAGGCAACGATATCATTCACATATAAAAAAAAAAAATTAAAAAAAATTGTGCTCTATATTCTATATCAATACTTTGAGTCTGCGGAAGAAACTTGATTTACACGAATAGGCCTAGATCTAGTATTATTTCAAATTAAATTTATCCCAAATTAGCCAATTCCATAGCTAAACAAACAAAGATTTATATAAAATAATTAAGGCCTGAAATAGTTTAGAAACTCATTATTATCTAGATCTAGATAAAGTTATCTAGATTCTACGACTGGTCTGGTTAAGTCTAGTCAAGTCTTTCCATAGTTTTAGATCTATAACCTAGATACTAGATAACATAGATAAATCCATTGTATTCTTGAATTAGATGATCCTTGAAGCTAAAATGCAAAGATTTATTTCAAATATTTAAGGACTAAAATAGTTTAATAAAAGAAGCTCAATAATTTAGTGTGATTTTATAATGGTTTTTATTTTTAACTAATTAATTTTGGTTTGACCTAGATTCTAGATCTATAAATTTTCCTTCCTTAGACAGCTGATCTGTAGATTCTAGATCTAGATTCTAGAGAAATTTATTGTACACTCAAAAGAAATGTTGAAAGTTGAGCCTAATAAAAATAGCAAACAGACATCGTTAAAGTAACTTAAAGCTATAGCCAACAGAAAAGCAGCAGATCCAACACTATTATCAACAACAGATGTGTATTTGTTCTCAATCAGTCTTGATGTTGAGAATCTAATAAAATATAGTAGGCCTAATAAAATGGAATAAACACTTTTTGATTAATTAATAACTGAAAATATTTATTATGTCTTAAAAAAAAAAGATAAATAAAACATCCATTCAATTCACAAAGGCTAATAATCATAATAATAAATTGTATCTTCTGTCTTAAAAATTTAATCATTTTCAGCTAATTATGATTAACTTAATGGATTATTAAATTATTTATACAAAGTTTAGAATTACATAAAATGGAATATTCAATATAGAAAAAATTAGAGTAAATATTACTTTAATGATTCAAATTATAATTGTACATTTAAAATGTTGGTGTTTATTAGTGGTTAGCATTATTGTATGGGTAATGTAAAGGGTAAGAATTTAGGCAGCTTTTTTCCCAAAAAACCTGAACAAAGCTAGCCAAAAACACCTAGTACAATATAATAAATGTGCTATGGTGATTCATGACATCCATTCTTTCCATGAAGTGTTATCATGTTAAATAATTTTTAATAACTTTTTAACTTTGTTTAAATTTCATGTTTACAACATAGATGCACACAATTTAAAAACATTAGTAACAAATAATACATTCATTTTACTTATCTTCAAAATGAAATGTCTAGATAACATATTTGTAATACTTTGTATGACAAATAATACTATGAAGAGTATTATATCCTGTATGACAAACATTAATGGTGTGTTTTCTGCATCCATAATGTGGTATTAGTACAAAAGCAGTGATTTTATATACAGATAATTAAAGATCCTTGTGAAAGAGAGTGAAATTTTGTGTGTGTATGTAGATAAACTAGACTTCCGAGCAAACTTTTTATGACGAATGTCACATTCCTGTGGTCTCTGGTAAATGAATCTTTTTATGTGTAGATAAATGACCTTTATGATTAAATTTTTTGTGACACACATCACATTCATATGGTCTCTCTGGTAAATGAAAATTTTTATGTTCTGTTAAATTACCTTTACGATTAAATTTTTTATGACACACATCACATTCATATGGTCTCTCTGGTAAATGAATGTCTTTATGTGTAGATAATTGACCTTTATGATTAAATTTTTTATGACACACATCACATTCATAGAGTCTTTCTCCAGAATGAATCTTTTTATGTGTAGATAAGTGACCTTTATGATTAAATTCTCTATGACACACATCACATTTATATGGTCTCTCTAGTAAATGAATATTTTTATGTTCTGATAAATTATGTTTATGCCCAAATTTTTTGTGACACACATCACATTCATATGGTCTCTCTGGTAAATGGATATTTTTATGTCTAGATAAATTATATTTAAGGGCAAAACTTTTAGGACAAACATCACATTTATGTGGTCTCTCTGATAAATGAATACTTTTATGTTTTGACAAAGCACTTTTATGATTAAATTTTTTGTGACACACATCACATTTATATGGTCTCTCTGGTAAATGAATATTTGTATGTTCTGATAAATGACCCTTTTGACTAAATTTTTTCTGGCACACATCACATCCATATGGTCTCTCCGGTAAATGAATTTTTTTGTGTGTAGATAAATGACCTTTATGATTAAATTTTTTATTACACACATCACATTCAAATGGTTTTTCTCCTGAATGAATCTTTATATGGTTTACTAAGTTATTTTTAATATGATATTTTTTATGACACACATAGCATTCATATGGCTTATTAATTCCAGAATGAATATTTGTGTGTGTGGATAAACTAGACTTTGTAGTGAACTTTTTAGACAAACTAGACTTATTGTATACCTGTTCTAGGTTTATTTTGTTAATCTGTTCACCCTGACTAATCATAACAACTTCTTGCTGATGAAAATTATGACCATATGGATTCCCCCTTATGTGAATGTTTATGTGTTGTTTAACATGATCAAAATGGAAAAATCTTTGACAACACATATCACACTTGTATGTCTTCAGTCCCTTATTGCTAATCAGATATTCTGTTGGGAGATTATCAATCAATTTTGTATGCAATAACTTGAGTTCTTTTACTTCATTTTGAAGATCTGATTTTAAAACTGCAAAATTTTCTTTAAAATCAGTTAAATCTGGTGGGGAAGAAAGTTGTTGCTGTGCTTTGAAACCATTTTGTTGTTCACTCTCCAAAGATGAAATTGTTAATATCTCAGGTTTTATATCTTCAAAAATTGAAAATGCTGTTGATATATTTGGTTTCATGTCTTCAGAAGATGAAAATAATGTTGGTTTATATTGCTTCAGCTCTTCTAAATTAAACAAAGGCTTTGTTTTATCAAGGTTTTTATCTTCTAAAGCTAAAAATGGCATTGTTTCCTCCAAGTATTTGTCTTTAACAGTTAAAAATTGTGTTGATACATTTTGCTTTATATCCTCAGAATTTGAAAAGAGTGTTGATATATTTGTTTGTACTCCTTCTGAACTTGAAATAGTTGATGTTTCATCTGATTTCATGTCCATAAATGTTATGATTTCGTCACTCAATTCCTGTTTAACCATAATTGAACTCTCCCAAACTATACCATTAGAGTCCTTTGTGTTTTCCATAGCTTTAGATTGATGAATTGTTGCAGAAAAAACTGAAATGAAAATAATCTTGATTAGAAAATCAAATTAAAAATAGTATTTGAAAATATATTGATTGCATTTATAAAAATGTTTAAATATTTATGTCTTAACTGTACACATGCTTCATTTTTTTTTAGAATTTATATAGATCTAAGAGACCCTTGCTCTTTTAGTTCAACCTTTATTAAATAGAAGAAAAAAGGGGTCAGCGTTGTCGAGTCGGTAAAGCTCATGGTTGCTAAACCGAAAAGTCTCGAGTTCGAACCCCCGGTAGATGAGGCTCGTTAGCTGGGGACAGCCACTCTTCTAGGAGAGACAACTCCAAAATTAAACAACTACTGCCTTGTAGTTTGTTCTTGGTTGGACAAAGGCTATGGAAGCAAATCCAAAAAGAAAAGCAGGCTGAAATCGGAGTCAATGGCCTCAATGGCGCATAACCAGTTGCCACGTAACGCTTAAATCTAGTTTATAAGTCCCGAACTTCCTAGTTAATTAATTAGCTCTAAAGGCTTTATACATGATTAATATTGATAAAATTAAAATAAGGGATTCAATTATTGTTTAAATTGTAAGGTTCTTGTTAATAAAACACCATATTGCATGTCTGTCAACCTATTAAGTAGGCCTATTAAATATACTATATATTTTAAAATAGGCATATCGTTGTTTTCGACTTACTAGCTTATTATTACTCAGTTGTTCTTTTTAAGCACTCACAAACACACTAATTAAACTAATAACTGTAATAAATATATTAATATATCTAATATTATTAAAGTTTAATTAACTTTATTAAGCCTATAACTTGATATATTAGTAGTAACATATTTTTTGCGGACGTTACAAAAACACAAAAACCAGTCACTCTTTTAATTAGTGGTATCGATGCCCTTCTTCAAAAGGTCCGTGTATTTTTTTTAAAATAATAAAATATATTATAAGCAGAACTATTAATTTTTTTTTAGCTATCCATTGTCAAAAATTAAATAGTATAACTATAATTAACTACTTATGATTTCATTATTTATAGGCAAGACAGAATGGGGAAGAAGAATGCCTTGAATGTAGTAAATCTCTATCAAAGGTATTCTGATGTAAGTGGTGAAGTGCGAATAGGCAATGTAGTTTATTTGTACTATATAAAAAATAAAAATATCTCCAAGGTACTTGATGAGCTATTAGATAGAAACAGACATATAAAAACAACAAAAAATTATTTTGCTAACAGAAACTCTGTAAACAGAATCATAAAAAAATTCATGCTCTTAAAATCAAACCCTGAAAGAAATTGGCAACAGTTGGTTAGTTATTTCAATGAACCCTATGTAGGAATAAACACACAGGCAACACCACTATCTGTGAGAAAAGGTTAAAGCTAAATTAAATAAAACAATGGAGTGGCTTGATGCAAAAAGTATCAATGAACAAAATCAGCTAATTGATTTTGCTATAACTGAAGGTGCTCGCAGGCAAAGATCACACAAAACCTAACAGCGAGAAATTGAAATCATACAAAGAAGAGAAGAATCAAGAAAGAAAATAAAGAAAGAAAGAAGTTAAAGATAGATGTTGATAAGTTGGCAAAAGGTCAGTTATTTATTAATGATGAAATATTCTGCAATGTGGAGACCAGACAAAAACAAGTGTTAGCTAAATTATCAATGGAGAAGATATGACTGTCCAACTGCTAAAACACAAGTGGGAATGTATAAATGACAATGACACCTTGTTTCTTGGTAGAATAGTCTTAAGACTCACAGCTAGTGAGACAAAACTTGATAGATTTGTAATTGCTTATCGAAAGTTATTGGTCAATTGATGAGGAAAATAGTGAAGACTCAGAACTCAATGTAGCTACTTTAATAACTGATATGATCAGTAAGCATCTGTTGTTTGAGTTTTAATTTACAAGTTCCTTTAGAAGTTATATTGTACAATGTTTAATAAACTAAAGCTATATCCATTGCAATGTTCCTTTAGAAGTTATATTGTACAATTTTTAATAAATTAAAGCTATATCCATTGCAATGCACAAAGTTAGTCTCTTTATAAAACACAAGAATTTATATATACATTTTTGTGACTGCTCCTTGTTCAACAAAATAAAATTCTAAGTTCATGTTTGTCAATATCATAAATATATATCTAATAATAATATATGCATCTGATTAGCAGGACTGATCAGATATGTAGTTATGATATATCTTATTATTCCTGCAAATCAGATGCATGTATTAATATATTCATACATAATCAGCCTTTAGCTTATTCATTTGACTTTGAGACTACACATCCTACACTGTACACAAAACTAGCCAGTTTATTGCTTCTATTCACACATGACTCTTAAAATTAAAAGCTTGTAAACTTTGGGACTTTCCTATATATTTAATAAAAATAAACAGACACACTCTTTTTATCAATTTGTTTTATTCAATTTTTTAATGCAGGCATAAGTTTCCATGTATGCTATAATAAATAAATAGTTTAAATACTGTAACTTGTTCTGTTTCTTAACATTTTTAAACTACTCTTTATTGTGCCATGATTTAAACCATTAATAATATCCATGTTTACTTGTTTAGGCCTATTTTTAATGAATCAAGTTTTGTCATGATGCATATTTTTTTTAAAAATGTCTCTCAATAGATCTAGATCTAGTTAAACTTTAGAGTTTAGAGATATGATGGCGATGGAGATTGAGTCTAGATCTAGGTCTAGATTCTAGGGTAGAGTCTAGCTATTTAGTACTAGAATCTAGATCTAGATCTAGGTACTAGAGTTTACTAGAGTCTATTTTACATCTAGATCTAGTCTAGATCTAGTAATTAATTAGTGTTAAACGGTATTAACCTACTTAATTTTAGGCTTTTTTTTATTGATAAGCTTTCATTGACAGTTTAATCTAGCTTTGGTATTTCCTTAAGCGTAAATATATTTAAAGCTAATAAACTAGATTGTTTAAAAACATTTTATTACAATTTATTTAGTCTTACGTAACCTACTCTCTTCGCTCTAGACTAGACGCGCGCAAAGTTAAACTGCGATAATGTAATAATTTTGAGAAATTATAATTATGCCTTTTATTAGAAGATTTTCCCATTCGCTTTTTTCGTACTCTCGACGTGACCAACTTTTGGTTTCATTCTCCATAGGCTTAGTTGTCCCCGCAATTTTTACACTAAAACCGTCATATCTAGAGAACCGTTTATCCAATAAACATAAGTTTGGTATTGTTTTGCAGCATTTAGTCCCATTAATACAACCCTGTCGTTATTTTTGTCATTTTCATCAATTGAAAAATTGTGTGCAACTAACTACTATAGGGCACTATAGTAGTAGTAGGCTATTGAATTACTATTAGGCCTAGATCTCTAATTATTATTAATCATAAAAGTCCATATGGCATATGCGTACTTCTCTCTCTCTCTCTCTCTCTCTCTCTGTCCGCAAGTTTTTTTAGGCGATTGTGATCAGAACGTTTAGCTAAATATGGAGAACTTGAAGATACTGGCTTTTGTTGAAAATAATGGTGGATGGGTAGAACTCCATTTTAGCGTATTTTATTCTCCGCTTTTTGTTTACTTCCAGTTGAGCGTATTTTACTCTAACTACCGAAACACACCAAAACTTTAGGAAAACATGATTTATTTGTATGTATTGTATTTTTGTTTTAACAAATGAATAAAAATGAATAAAAAAACAAAGAGACTGACTTTGTTTTAGATTTTGATAATTTACTTTTGTTAAAACTTGAGAAAAATCCAAATTTAAAATAAAATACTTAAAAAAATCTTTTTAAAAAACCACGTTTTTCTTGTGGACTAATAAGTAGAAAATAAATTTTTCTTCCGACCCTAGGGGATCTACCAATGACTGCTCGTAGATTTTGTTCATACATTTGATGACAAAAAACGTGGGTACGTTCACCATCAAATTTCCCGACCCATCTGCCCGACCCACGTTTTTTGTCATCAAATGTATGAACAAAATCTACGAGCAGTCATTGGTAGATCCCCTAGGGTCGGAAGAAAAATTTATTTTCTACTTATTAGTCCACAAGAAAAACGTGGTTTTTTAAAAAGATTTTTTTAAGTATTTTATTTTCTCCTTTTTAGTCCGTTGCTACACATGAAAAACGTGATTTTTAAAAAGTTTTTTATATAGTTTATTTTCTACTTTATCTAATGACTTGATTAAGTATGACTTGACTAAGTGTTTTTAAATACACGGACTAAAAATCTTGAGCGACCGATACGCTTTAAACAGAGAAGGGGCGTAATTTAATTAAGCCTACATGCTGTGACCAGGATTCGAACCTGGGTTGTCGCGGCCACAACGCGAAGTACTAACCACTATACGATCACGGCCAGCGCGCACGCATCAATTGGGGCCGAAGTAACTGTGTCAATAGGCCTCCAGTCTTGTCGGTATCTTAAGAAATCATGTCCTCAATTTTATGGTCCTTGGGGCGTAATTTAATTAAGCTAATTTAGGTCTCTAATTGCTAGTTTTTATGATTGCATCTGAAATTGTTAGGCGAAAATAGCCTGCATGCCAAATTTCAGATCTCTAGAGCAATCAGAAGTGGGCTAATTTTCTATGTCAATTTTAACAACAAACATCCAAACAAACAAATAAACGCGAAGCTGAGTTAAGAAAAACGTGTTAATATTGAATGTGCAATGTTCGTGGAATTATGTCTGAAAATTATTTATATTTAGTCCTTTAGCACTTACTTCCCTTTGATAAATTAGGAAAACACAATTACTTCCCTTTATAAACTATTGCATTAGTGGAAAAGAATTTACTTTTTATTACTTTGTTTTGGTGTTGGGAAAAAAATAATTACATAATTAGCGGGGATTGATCAAGTGCAAATGTTGTAGGTATTTTACGGATAAGCTTGGAGTATTATAATTGTTCATTTGGTTTGGCACCTACGTTCGTTTAAGTGAGTGCAAAAGACTATGAATAAGTTGGAGTACTATAGTCGTTTATTAAG